ATTGTACAATACACACACACAAGCACATACTTTCATGCGATTACACACAAACTTTGAAATTTACTCAGATGTAGTAACTTACCTAAGTATCATTTTAAGCCTAAAAATTTCTAAATTTTTGACAGTTTCTTCTTGTCCTGGAACTCGGGAAGCTAAGTTTTTAAGAGATTTTATGATCATGGACAGAGCATCATTTTTGGCTTCATTTTTCGCTTCTTTTTTCAACTCCTCATCAGTTAAATTTTCTAGAAATTGAGGGACCATTTCTATAATTGGAAGAAAGTATTTCTTGATTGTGTGAAGAGTTAAAAAATCATAGCACTGTCCAAATGGCCTGCAAGAAATATGTAAAAAATTAAATACAAACAATGTAGAGTTTTCTATTCAAGTGACATTTTTACTATAGTAGAACTAAACAAAAAGAATACCAACAACACAGATTTCCTTTCACATTTTTAGGAGTTTACTCCATGTGTGAACATCTTGTAGAAAACTGGTGCGTCTATTAACCAGTTGACATCCGCGGTGTTAAACCCCCTTCCCATCCAGGCCATTTTTCAGTATTCAGCGCTGCGGTACTTTGACTGACATTTATTCCGTCATGCAGCGCTGTACTGAAATTAATTTTATACCCTTTTTTGGGGACAGATAGAGCTTTCTTTTGGTGGTATTTATTCACCACTGGTTGTTTTATTTTTTTACTATATTAAAGGAAAAATTACTGAAATAAAAAAAAAAAACAGTTTCCTTTAGTTAAACATTTTGGGGGGTTTTTTCCCCTTTTTTATATGCGACTTATTTTATTTTACTTTTTTATGTGTTACTTTTATTTTTTTTTATTTATATTTATTTTTTTGCACTTATTGTTATTGCTATTATATAGGGGAATAACAATCCCCCTATATAATAGCAAAGGCACACTGACAGGTCCTCTTTATGGAGACATTAGGGGTAGACGGCAAGAGGTTAACACTGGATTTTCAACCCTGACATTTTGACGCATGCATTTTCAACATTTAGAAAAGCTAGGATAACTTTTCATATGCAAACATAGTATTACAAAAAAAAAATCCTCAATGCAACTTCTTAAATTAACCCATAAACTCGTAAGACTGAACTCCACTACAGAATTTACACCCAATCATCAGATGAAGTTTAAACAATCATGGTCATGAATAATATATTTATTACACTAAAAAATATCATCAGGGTATATTAAAATTGTGTAGGATGGAGACAAAATAGCAAAGATTGCGTTCAATGGAAGCGAATGGCAAGTGTTACAAATGATTTTTCCAAAGAAGTATATGATAAACTTTATCTGTGGCGACTGTTGGCTCAATTCACTAATACCCTGTATCCAAGATATCGATACCACAACTAAAAGGTAACGTTATTTAAAAGATTACTTATTCCCAAAAACTGAGTTATTTTTCAGTTGAACCCAAAAAAATAAGAGCACTTTAGGCTTGTGCAACGCTTTCTAAATTGATCCTATTGTCTGGTAAGCCCTTTGGAAAGGGAAGGTTTAGAATCTGTCAACCCTGAATCCAGTTCTTCTGGACTACTTATGCAGTTCTTGGGGCCTATTAGCCAATATTTTATCTACTAACATGTAATTATGCAGGTCAGTAGAAGGAAAAATATTTATTAGATTTGCTACGTCAAGTTAAATAGGTTTATCACTTTATGCCATACTGTTCCATTTCCTCTTTTATGTATCTTTCTTTGATCTTGAATAATAAATCTTGCTGTAGGGAATACTAAATGCGGCAGCAATTTTTGAAGGGGGTTCGGGGATCACAAATGTGTGAGCACAGATTTGGAATTGTAATGGCAGTGATCTTGGCCAGTCTTACATAACATGTCATCAGTTTTCAACTACCTACAGTAGTATACCCACAGCCTGCATGTGCAGCTCAGTATACATCAGTATAAATCCTGGCCCAAACAAATTAATTCCTGTGTGCACATGTGGGGTTTTGTCATCCAGGTACAACCAATTAGTGGCCGAAAATCAGTAACCCAGAAGACAGCATGGAAGAGGAAAGAGGGCAAATTTTATCTCCGCTTAAGGTTCTATTCACACATAGCGTTGGCGTTTCCCATGCGGAAGACAGCACAGGAGGCTAATGCTATATGTGAAACTACTGCACGGATTCCGCTCGTTTGCAGCTATTATACATGCGGAATCAGTTATTTAACCTCTTGCCGTCCGCCCGTAGTAAAAAAACGGACGGACAGCACTGCAGAATGCTTGGAATATTTTGCGGGCAAATGTCGGCACAATACACATTAAAAGTGCATTGTTTTTTCTGTTTAGAGCGGCTCTGCGCGTATTCGGCCGAATACATGCGGACTACCGCTCCAGTATGAATGGAGCCTTAAAAAGGGATTGCAGGGGACAAACATTTCATTTTGAAAAATATATTTAAAATATATAAATACCGGACATTAATACTTACTTTATGAGCGCTGCGATGATTTGAACATTCAAAGCTGAGCCATTGATAAAGCGATCATGCAGGATCTGGAACCCGTTTAATGTGCCAAACTTATTAATGAGGTCTACTAACCAACCCTTGAAGTGAAAGAGAAACATCAGACATTATTACTACAATTATTATCCATACAGACCAAGGGTAGCCAAACTCCGGCCCTTCAGCTGTGGTGAAACTACAGATCCCATGATGCATCTCTCTCCAGGAGTCATGTCTGAGGCTGTGAGAATAATGCAATGCCTCATGGGATTTGTAGTTCCACCACAGCTAGAGGGCCGGAGTTTGGCTACCCCTGATGCAGACATATATTTTTGAAAGTAGCTCAATTTTAAAAAGTCACCAAGGATTGTTTTCTTCTGTAAAGCAGTCTTACAGCCTATCAGAGGTCTCTGTGCCTGTAACAAGCATTCAGACTGTATTTACACCATTTTGTTGCAGTAACATACATTATTCATGTTGTAACACCATTCACTCTAAGGCCCCATTCACAACTATGCGTATTGTAATATGCGCGTCTGTCTCGCGTTTTTTTTACCGCGATTCGCGGTAAAAAAGTCGCGCGATTCCAAAGGCTACTTGTCAGTATTCAAATGGAAAACGCCCTACAAAACAGACCAATACGCAGCAAAAACGCTCCGGGACCCTTTCATGCGTGGGCCGTTTTGTAGTGCGTTCGGGACGGGCGGAAATACGGACAGGTGGGAACGATACCATTGACTACAATGCTATTTATTTTTTTGACCGTTTTGTAGAGCGTTCATCGAGCGTAGGACGTGCTACAAAACGGTCAGGTGTGAATGGGGCCTAAAACACGCTTCCCGCAACGTTGATGTGTGCTGTGTTGCTAAAAATGGTGCATGCACTTTTGTGCCTTTTGGTGCATTAGGCAGCCTATTTAAATGAATGGGCAACCTCACATAACATGTGACATAACACGCGTGTGTTAACGCAAACATGTAAATGAGCCATCAAAAAAACATGCTATTAAGAGAACATAAAAAGAAAACCTGAAAGCCCAACTTCAACTAAACTATATAGTTTTAGTTTTTTTATTTTGTTCCCCCCGTGGATAGATTTTTTTTTTATTGCAGTCTGAGAAATGCTATGCAGCCAATGCTGCAGTGTATATATGCAGACACCATGCTTTAACAAACATTTATACTTTAAATCTTGGTTAATTAACTAGTTTTACCCTCATCCAGCAGCCAAAACATATGTTATCGACACAAAGCACAGGCAACAGACAGGTCAGACACCAAACACGTACACCCAACCCTATATCAACTTAAAGGACCTTCACCGTATAACTATTCTATACTGATAATTGTAAAGACAAATATTCGTATGTATACGTTCTTATAAGAACTTTTTTTTCTAATTTTCCCCACATTTATATGTTCAAAAAGAAAGTTAAGGATGTTGGGAGAAACTAACATTGCCAGACTTTTTCACAAGAGTTAGGTTAGATTCATACGATTAATATTATGAAAACTTGATCTACAGGCAAATGTGTAAAGTATAATATAGAAAGGCATGTACAATAACAATAATGTATTGTATTTAATATGATATAATCTCTCTCTCTATATCTATCTCTCTCAATATAGTAACCTTAGCTATCAGAATAAATTAGATTTAGCTAAAGTAGCCGTTAGGAACAAAGATCTAAAGTATTACAATTGCCCACTTCTGACTGGTACGCTTTAGAACTATCTTATTTTGACCATCTATTTATACAATAGCCACTTGAGAATGAGAACTGAAAGCAGATATTAACTGACACCATAGGGAAATTTACACAGATGGCTACAAAGTGTGCGGTGTTGAGGGTCTATTCAATATACAGCTAGGGGGTGCCAGACCCCCAAATATACCCTATCTGTGAACATTTGCCTCTTGGGCCACTAACCTAATCAGCCTCTTCAAAACACACACTCCCAACAGCTATCTGTATAGACACATTGAATGTTTATTCCTTTTATTTTAGGACGATATCAAGCCACAGCCTACTGCCATGGAAAGACACAAATTAAAAATTGTATGTAAAGCCACAAAATCAAACTAAAATCATGAAACTTCCAAGAGACAAAAAAAATGGAAGAAAGAATAGCCCCATTGTAAAATTAGGGCAACACTTTTCAACAGAAGTCTTATGGCTACAAGATCTCCGGTTCACATGGGAAACAGACTCCCTATGCCTAGGAGATTACAGCTCTACTAGCTGAAGACGGGTGCTTCTGTCTCATCAGCAGATTTCCAACACACATGCCTCCAAAAAGGCCATTATAATGGAGGTGCAGGGCTTCAGACAGTTGCTTAGCAAGTTGCAAAACTGGAGGGCCTTGTTCTTTGTAAGAGGAGTCTTTAAAAGGATGTGATCTATAGAAATATGGAGTCACAAAATTAAAACCTTTTTAAAAAGTCTATCAGCAGAGTCCTTAAAAGGTAAAGGAACCATAAACCAGAGTGATGAGAGGTCCAATAAGGTGAAGAACTGGAGAGCCCACAAAAGGTAGGGACGATTTGTCAAGGAATTCACCAACAGGATGTAGCCATGAATGCAACAGATGTTCACAGTACTCAAAGTGAAACTGTTCCAGAACAGAGGCTATAGGAAAGGTCTTTGTGTTAGCGCGAGCTAAAAGAGACCCTTTACTTGGTACAGCAGGTTGATCTTCTAGATACATAGCAGAGCAGGCTATAGGAGTTCTCAATCTTAAACCGTGAAATAAGGCATTCACAATGTACTGGAGGTTTCAACAGGGTTAGAGATACATCTAGTAGCAAATGGCATCGAAGCATGTTTGGAATGTCTGTGAGCAGACTGTCAGTGCACAATTAATGTAACCAAGTCAAAAGTAGATTCAAGAGGCCTGCTCAGCACAGGTCTCAATCAGTGTGTTCCGACATGGCTCGAGGCTGGAATGCACTGGATTGCATAAATCAAGCCGCGCCGTGTTCTGGGGCGGGAGGGGGCATGGTGGTGCCATTCACGTCAATGGCACCGCAGACACGCCCCCTGACCACTGTGCGATCACCCCCCTCCCCCCAGAACACGTGGTACTGGAATGCTCTGTGTGACTGTGCCCTTAGGCTCAGCCAACAGAGCAGTAAAAGCTGCAGAGAAAAATCATATAGAAATAGGAGTAAGAGTCCTAGGATGCAAAATACAGACATCAGTTGCCTGTTGCCAGAAACGTGGGGGACCTTGAAATAATATACATTACATAAATATATTGTGGCCCAGAATTATTGCTCTCACTCTGGCGCATGCGGCTATACCAAACATGTGTAACTCAATAATCGTTTTCATATGACTTGTGTTTACGTTACTTTAAACTTTTACCGGGGTATTTTTAATTGTATTACTTTATTTTATTTACTTCATTGCCATCACATGCCCCCTATGTGATAGAACATTGGAGATGACATGTTCTCTTTAAGGTGACATTAGGGGTCTACAAGACCCCTAATGTCACCTTTCCACTCACAGGGGAAGTGCCTGCTGAGGCAGCTGAATGTAAACACAACAGGCAGTGACAGAGCAATAGCCAGCCTGCTATTGGCTATTTTAAATTGCAAAAGCAGGCTGGCTATTGCACCCGCCCACTTTCTGCTGTCAATCAGGGTACTGTCAATCAGGAGGGTACTGAAGGAGAAAGTTCTTCTCTGCTGACAGCAGGCAGGTGTAATAGCCAGCCTGATTTGGCTATTGTAACTTAAAATAGCAGGCTGGCTATTGCTCCCGGCCGCTGGATGGGAGATTTGAAGTTGGCTTTCTACCGCCGGCAGACAAGGGGGCATGGGAGGAAACGAGGATGATTACGGGCAGCATGAGAGGCTCTGGGTCAGCAGTGGAGTATTACAGGCAGCAGAGGAGGATCGCGGTAAGCATCGGAGGCACAGGGCAGAAGAGGAGGATCACTGACAGCAGCAGGGGAATGCAGAGGCACAGCGGTTTCTACTCCCCGCTGGGTGCCAGCTGCAGCGCTGTGTCCCCTCTGAACAAAGGAAAGGTGGAGCAGAGCAACTAATTGGAAATCAACTAATCAATAATGAGAATTGTTGACAACGATTCTCATTATCGAATACATCGATCAGTTGCAGCCCTACTACCAATGGTAAATTGCTGACACTTCAACCCCCCGGCAAAATGAGCTACTGGAAGCCATGTGACAATAACTTGGCATGCATAGTTTACTGCACATGAAGCCATATACAATACCAGAGAAAGAAGGGCATGCAGCTAGTATTGCTTATTTTTATTACATCAAACACACATGATAAAAAATTGAAAAAAAAGAACAGCAGGAAGTGGACAAAGTTTCTTTTAACATTTTGGATTTTTTCCTCACTTCCAGTTCCAGTGAGTGGTCACCAGAACAAATAGAGAGTGCATTTCCCTAGCTGGGACACAATCCACAATAAAACCTGACAGTGGCTATAATCCTTCCCTACGCTTTAAAAATAAAATAATAATAACTAGAAGTAGTGGTCCAGAGCAAAGGAAAACAGACCACTGAACATCTACATTTGTGACCAATCAGGAACTAAAAAAGCCTCATCAACCACCTGGATCAATATTACCATTCTATCCTTTAGTAATTAATACTGATAACAATGGTACCAGCAGAGACAACACATGATTCTGGAAGCCTGATAAAGTAGATTAGCTATTTGACATATTAGCAGTTCTTCAACCTTCAGAAACTGACAATTTTAATAAGTAATTCATTGTCTAATGGAAATGGAAAATAAGGAATATATTTGTTTAGAGTTTCAATTTTAACATCTATTATTCTTACTCCACTTTTGTCTCAAGTAATATCTCTCCTATTCCTCACATGAACAGCTCCCACTATGTTTAAACTTCTGCTTTGCAAATGGAGGACAAAAAAAAAGAAAAAAAAAAAGAAAAAAAAAAAATTCACCTCAGATAACTAAAGTCAAAACTTTTTGGGGGGGCTGGAACAAGGTATGATTAAATCACCTGTCAAATTTGTTTTTTGTCAAACTCCTGTTTAGGAGATTTCCCCTTAAGAGTGTCTCTGGAATAGAAAGAGGAAATCTTACCTAAGTGAGGCAAATTCCTTCTTAGACTGATTCTAAGAGAGCTCACAAACTCTTTCTTGCTGCAGTATAACAAGGGTTCTTTAAGTGGTATTTCCCTATACTTCTCTTTAGGATCACAGGAGGACATATACTAGTGTCTTCCCGTGACCCAAAGCTCAGTATGTCGCAGGCTACTGCCCGTGATATACTGAGCGCGCTGCAGCCGGGATGGATCCCTACCTCACTGCTGTGATCCACCCAGCTGCGTAACTCACAGCTGGCTCTGCCTATCTAGAGGCAGAGCCAGCTGTTCCCACCCCCTCCCCCGTTGTTCCTCCAGTCAGCACTAGAGGATCGGAGCGGGGAAGGGGGGAAATCACTGCAGGGAGAGGCGACTTGACAGTCACCGCTCAATGCAGGGAGAAGATCGGAAAGGGAGCGAGCGACGGTATGTGTTCGCTCACTTCCCGATCAATAAAGCCGACCTGTGACAGCTTCTTTGTCACAGGTCGGCTCTAACTATGAGGATGAGTGGAAATCACTCCTCACAGTTCTCCTTTATCTAAGGATTTTATTTTAAAAAAGTGTTTTTCTTCCAAAAACAGTCACTGAGAAGGCAAAAAACACCTTAAAGCAACTCGAATGCAGCTCAAAGCACCAGAAAACTCACTTATGAATCTGACCGAGGGCCAATTCACACCAGCCACTGCGCAAAACACATAGCGGCTGGTGTGCGTTGCCCGACAGTGCCGATGAGGTGTATAGTTTTTTTTGGTAGAACTTTACTGAAATCTAACAAGTGACATCTCATTCAGTTCCAGAAGCACAGCAGAAGACAGCATGCCATTCTTTTGTTTCAGCACACATCAGCGTATCTTCATTGCAACTCAGTGGGGTAAACCGAGCCCATCAGTGACTAGGCAAATTTCCTTGTCTTGCCTTGGGGCTACACTGGCCATTGTTTCCAGCGCGGCCCCAATGCATATAGTGTGAATCTGCCCTGAACGTAGATAAAATCACAGATATTTCTTAGTTTAATAGGTATTCTTTTAATACAATGTAAAAAGAGACCACAAGTATTTACACAACCACGGAACAGGACCTGACTACCAACTCACCTTCGGGGAACGTGGGTCAGGAGGACGGGCAAACAGCTCATCTTCTGCCAACTGAACTCCAGCTGGAACAGTTTCTGATGGACGTGTACCATTGTAGATATGAAATTTACAATGAGGATTTAAGGCCATTGCTAGTAGTTCAAGAAGAGGAAACCAATCTTGGGAAAGCTTGGCCACACATAGTTCCACAAGGCGATGGGTATTGTTAATTATACACCTCTGTATTAAGAGAAAAGACAAATTACCACCAGAAATATCAAAATACCAAGATCTTGGAGCTGCAGAAGTAAATATAAAAACTTTCAGCCCCAGGGATACTAGTCTTTAAAAAACTAAACAACCTGCCTTTAGTAAAATGTAAGCATCTAAAACCAGGGTAAACCTCGGAATTGTAAAAATAAATACTTACATGGATCTCAAACTTCCAGCCACTCACTGCTTCATCAGTGAGAATTTTTGTAAAAGATATTGTTAGACCATCTCTAAAGAATCGTTGGCATGCTTCACTTTTCACATCAAGGCCTACACAAAAAGGTAAAAATGAACAATAAAAGTGACGCTACAGCAACCTTTAAAAGCACAAACCACTATGGAAAATCATCATCAGCTAATGATTCCTAATCCCTCACTCCCAAGTCTGCCTGTCCCTTAGAAGAAAACTAATTTTTGGATTCCTGCAAATCTCACTGTAATCCCTCTCCCCTGACAGAAGCTTAGGTAGTAAGGTCTCTCAAGAGAGGTTCCAGGCTCACCTGGTCACTGCAGTCAAGATCCCCCATTTAGGACAGAGTGGGAGATCTGTGAATTTCACTTAACACAATGAACTTTCTCAGAAATCCCCTTCAATCTGCAGTTTTTGAGCCAGCGCAGATGCAATCTCACAAGATACAATCAATAAAGAATACCAATCCCCAATTTTTTTTAAAATACACAATTTCACATAATACATTTCGCTCAGCAGGGAATCCGTGCAAAGATCCTCTCCTGATGGGACAATGTGAATGGGGCCTAAGGAACTCAGAAAGTTGGGCATTGACCCAGATGGGAGTTTGTCTGTTCCAAATACATGAGCTGCATATTTTTAGGTGAGGTGAATAGTTTGTCTCAAAGTGCTTTGGGTGTAGACCCCTGTAGCCTTCAGTCTATGTAACGAGGTTTAGAGAATGTTGTGGCTTCTAGCAAGTAGGTAGGAATCTAGGTAATTCAGAGCCAATGCAATGTAGCAGTGGAAGCAAAGAGATTCAAGGTAATATGTACAGATCAGTGGGAAAACAAGTCCCCCGCCATCTAGGGGTCCAAGCTTGACTTTTGCATTGGCCCTTACTACAGAGGAACCAAGTAAATATGAATTTGAGGATTTTAAAGTACTACTGTACAATGGTATGTATACTAGGGAGTGGCAAAGGCCCCCTCTGATGTTGGTGAGGAACTGCCATCCTTGTCTTGGTGCCAGAACTTTTGAAGCTGTGCACTTGCTTTCTGGGCTTGTTTTAGTGGTGACATGGTGTGAAAGCAAGTCTTCAGATTCAGGAAGGTAAATAGAGAAGACACAATGGTCATCTCAATGGCAAACCGATGCAGCATAAGGTTCCGGATATAACTGGGTGGTTCTCACACTTCGAGCCTTATCACATGCTGAGCCAGGCCACGTCAAGCCCCCACCATTCACAACACTTTAACCTTAACATGCAATATGATTTTTCTAGTTAGCATGTGTGATTATATATTTGTACATGTAACACTTTCTGGTTGCCACTGCAGCTACATGAGCTCTGCATAAAACATTAGGTAAACATTGGACAAAGCTTTTTTATTTTCACCGACTCACTACACCATACAGTTAGGTAAAGCTGCCCTATTAAAATAAAAAAATTAAAATTGAGTTTTCTATAACCAATTTCATATCTGTTGGGGTTTCCAAAAACCTATAAAAAAATATTTGCACTGGAGTGTTTTAATGAGTGTTAGATAGAGTTAAAGCTATAACTAGCCACTGACTATTTTGTTTCTTCTTAAAGATGATTCATTTGTTTTGTAAAACGTACCTTTTTTACTAAGATCAATAGCAGCTTCTAAAAGAACTTCTAATTCACCTTTAGGCAAAACTGGAACAACCCAGCGAGGTCTGAAAAGGTAAAAATATATTTGATAAACAACCTAAAAAAACAGATCAATATCTCCAAAATCAAGAAGAAACAGTAAGGTAGAAAAAAAAAAAACATTGAAAACATTTTTTAAGAGTAGTTTAATTGATACCCGTTCACTTTATCAGATCATGAATGCCCCTGACCAAAACATGACTAACTGCTTTATCACAAGTTTTAGATTTTTATTTTCCTTCATCCAACCAAACTTTCTATGCCACCAAGTTGTGTTTCTTGGTCAATAATTAAAACTTTGCAAGTGACCAGTTGCATCAGCAAATATTACTGCCTTGGGTATCCATAGGAAAAAAATGTTCCCTGAATAAATGTGTAGTAATATTCAAAAGTTTTCTCCACAAGTAAAGTTAGTGTTAATCATTCTGGGTACCACAATGAGGGCATTTGTATTGCTTCCCCCACCCACCAAAATATATTACATTATTTCTTATTCTGTATGTAGGCTTACCATATGTCCCGTTTTAAATAGGACAGTACCGCTATTTTTTTCCCGTCGTTTGTACTTTCCTACTGTATCGTTTTCCTTCTTAGGAGTGTGCTCCGAGTCTCTGCGCCTCCTTATTGAGACTGGCTGCATTGATGTAAAGGTTAAGACGACTGGAACTGCGGCCAGTCTTCACTTCTACATCTGTGCAACCAGCCGGTCTCAAGGAGGCGCACAGGGCGAAATCATAAGTAGTCTCTGCCGGCTCTCATTCTTCCTCCGCGGCAGCATTGACTAGGTCTATACTCTGCGCCTATACGCAACTTCCTCCCAGTCAACGCTGCCGCGGAGGAAGAATAAGTGCCAGCGGGGACTTTAGCCCGCTATTTTATATGATCAACAGAGCTTTTATCTCAGCAGGGCAGTGCTCCAGAGTGTTAAGAAATCTCAAGGTTAATGACAAGTTCTCGGCACCTCAGACTGATACAATGGAAGGATATGAGGCAGTATTGGAAGGGGGGAAAGGTGCAGAAAGAATGCAAGGGCGATGTATGCATGTAATTTCCAACTTGGTGCATCTGACGTCATGTAAGAAGAGACATCACCCTCTAGGCTGCACCAAGATGGCTGCGCCCATTGTTTCTAGGTGCGCATGCGTGCGTATGGACGCACCGGTGATCAATATATATAACTTTTTTTCCTCAATATGCAGTTTTGGATTCTGACCCTCGTTGCTGTATACATCTACTATATTGTCATAAAACTTGTGTTATCTTACTTTTTCAAGAATACGGATTATTAAACCATCCCGTTTTGAACGCAAGGAAATATGCTCAGCCTATCTGTATGTAAAGTGATGTGAACAATCAAAGCACAATCCATTGAAATTGTTGACCTGGTCAACAAGTTCACAAGTAAACCACAGATGTTCACAAGAATACGGACTATAAATATAAAAGGAGATATACTTAACCAAATGGCACATACAATTGATATGGTATATTTATTCTCGATCTAAACGAAAAAGCAGATCTGCCATGTGGAAAAAGTACACTCCTACATATACAACCATTTCAAATCCATTAAATTACAAGCAGGTGTTCAGTGTTAAGATGTCAATGATAAGAAACTCTTCAAGGATTATGCATGTGGAACCGATCTTATTTAAACCTCCTATCTATCATTCTCTTTCCTATTGATGTATGTGGGGTCATCACGCTCTAGTGCCCTCAAAAGGAAGCCCGAGGATGCTTATGAATCTGGCAAGGGATTTAAACAGATCGCCAGATTATTTGGAATTATTTCACTGTAAGAAACAATCTATACGTGGCTTATATTGCAAATGACTTGCTAATTTGAAAGCTAACTTAATGCTAATCAGTCTCAAAGAGCCCCAATTTTTTGGGAGAAGTGGTAAAAAAAATTGTACATTAGAGACTGCGGGGAAGCTATGCAAAACACCTACAAGAAAGCATAGTCATTGCTAAAAGGGGTAAATACCAGGTACCCTAGACCTAGGTATTTAACCCTTGCAGTGTGGGGCAATACCCACAGCAAGGGAAGTTTGGTTATTTTAAACTTGGTGAGATTTTAAACTTTGGCGAGTTAAACTTTTATCAAATTATGCTGCAGTAGTAGTCACTAAACATGGTTCGCTTCACCCAATTAAGTTGAAATTAATTTTTTTAGTTAAAGAATCTTGCCTGTATATATACACTACTAAATTATGAGAATAAACCAAGCAAAATAAATACCTGTTGATCATGTCATCCAGCTTGGCCAAGTCAGTGTGAGGAAAGGCAGGTTCCTCATCCTCCAGTGCAGGAGGTGCATCCCCTTGCGCCTGGTCATCTGGGGGGCTGACTGGGGAGTTTTCATTGGAAGAATCAGGTGAAGAAGTCTAAACCCAAGAAAAATAAATAAATGTTATTACTTTTAGTGTGTATGGACATTCAAACAAATTTTAAGTAGAGAAAAGAAAAAAAAATCAACTGAAACCTTAAGCTCTTTCACGTTTCATTACAACTTTATACATTAAGACTTTTTAGAAAAGGGAATTCAGCTAAACAGATTTAAAAACAAAACATGTATGTTACATCATGGGGGAGGGGGGGGATTTCTCAGCATCAGAGAGGAGTTTGCCAACCAGGGTTCTAGGCGAGTCGTAGGGTCTTTTTATTTTCCACTATGTCTTGTTTGAAAATATTTTGTGTAGCAACACGGTCAGTTTAATAAAGAGGCTAACAGGATGTGGAACTGTGCAGGAAATAATATGGTCAGTATGGAACGATGCAACAAAACATTTTATCTCATGTTTTGGTACATTCCTCTTTAATAATGTTGCCTTCATACCAGAGTTGGAGGCAGGCGTATACGGAGGGTGATCAACAAGGGCTTGAATGTATGTAATTAAACCCATCACCTTGTGCCCTCTGAAATATACTTCTGTAACCAAGCCTTACACCAGGTAAACTAACATACACAATATAAACATATAAGAAGGGTTTTAGATCATCAATACACATTGGGTGGAATTTATCATAGCAATTGCGAGTATTTGAACTTGCACAGAATATATTTGATGCACTTTGCACCAGATTTATGATGCTAGTGTAATGTTGTTCATAAATGAGGTTTAATAGACTCCAGAAAAGACGACTTGTAACTCCAGGCAAAAAGCTCAACTGTCGCTTCTTGAAGAAGTGGTCATGGGGACTTCTTAAGTTGTGATTGTTTTGTTAGGTGATGCTCCAGTCAGACAGCCGCAGAACAAGTGCAGATGAAAACAGGTGCAAAACACGTGCAGTTGGAAAAGTAGTGCAAACTCAGGTCAAAACAGGGGCACATGTTAAAAAGACAGATTTTTTCACATAAAAAAAAAATCTAAGAGACTAAAACTGTTGCAATTGCTTTGATAAATTTCCCACCATTGTTTTATCTTCTATCATTACCAAATGACTGTACAAGACATCCAGGGAATATGATTTGGGGGAGTCCTGGGAGGTGACCCAGTAGACTTAAGAAATCTACAACAACTTCATAAATGAAAACAAAAAAAAAAAGAAGATATGATGACCATAAGCATGTAATCCTAGCACCTATCATCAGCTTCCTCTGTCCCACAATCCTCTCAATATTATTTCCAGGTACTTGGACAATCTGGCACAAAGCTCCACATTAGGGGCTCTATCAAAGTTTTTCAAGTCTGGATATTGACAGGGCTATTTCATTTACAGAAATTAACTTTGGAGGCTTTATTAAAAAGGTAATCCCTGAAATGTTGAAACATCCTAATAGGCCTAACTCATCATGTTTTCTTATCCACAAAAATAACCTGCGCAAGGTGATCACTTAACAGTTTACCTGCAACTCGGGTCAAAACTTTTGTGGCTCATGTTGAACCATCTTAGGCCTGGTTCACACCTGGATGTTTTACAGCGCTGATCGACGCGCTGTAAAATGCCCAGCAAGTCAAATCCCATTATTTCCTATGGGCATGGTTCCCACCTGGGTGTATTTCAGCACGTAGAAACACGCTGAAAAAAGGCCCTGCGCCCAAAGAAGAACAGGAGCTTCTTTGGGGTATATTTCCACGTGTAGCCATTAGGATACAGCCAGATAGCCCTCGTAAACGCGCGTGTCGCGAGTTTCGTTGACCGCAAATTGCAGTAAAAACGCGCATATTACGAACGCCCAAATGTGAACCCAGCCATAAGCAAAGACACTTTAAAAAAAAGTATAAAACCTATAAAAGTATTTAACATGTTAAAGCATAAACCTCACTTATGGTTAGACTGAATAGCCCTCAATTTCTGTTATCACGCTGAGATCAGTACATTTTGTCAAACTTTGAATACCTTTATGTCAGATCAGAAAGTATACCAGAGAAACCACTTTCAAATTCACTTTTATGGCTTGTAGAAAGGTAAAAAGTAAAAAATTAAAAAGAATAAATAAATCTACAAACTTGGCAAACTGCAAGGTGCCAATTACCTGCCAGTGAAGTCAACCTAGTGCAGCTTCCTTCCTTCCTCATGGTGTGGCAACAATGAATTCAGGGAAGCTTTACTACGCTTGTAAGCAGTGCCTAACTAGCACTACAGTGGGATGAAATAATCTTGAAGGGGTGTGCCTGTTAGCATTCTCAGCTAATGTCCAAACTTGTAGCTTGCAACTGGCCACATCTAGTCCTGCCCCCTGCTTCTTTCTGAAATGACTGCATTCTCTCTGAAAACCTCCCACTGTGAGCTGCAGTGTCTGGGAAGGGGAGAATATTTAACACAAAAGGGAGGATTTGGCTCGGGGAGGGTAAAGAAAGCTTTTGTTTATTTGGTAAGGGTAAGCAGGGCTAAATGTAGAGCGGGGAAGCCACCACTTGTTTTATACAAGTGATCTAGGCTTGTATAGTAAAAACAACAACAACAAAAAAGAGAAAGCAAGACCATAACATATTTTTCTGTGCGTTCATTCTAGACCCACTTGGTTACAGAGCCACTAGCAGGATAAGGGGACTAGCAAAAACAAAAACTGTATAGACTAGGAGTAGCTCCTTCTGGAAGCCAAACCCCCCTTCTACCAGGAGGGCAGCTTAGTTACCAAGCAGTACCAATCAATACCTAAAAAAAATTGGCCACAGATAAAACAAAAACAGGATTTTATGGCGTACACAAAAAAAGAAAAAAAAAAGGCTTCTTGATTTTCCCAAAAAAATGTGCAAATTATATATTTTTTTGTAATATAGCGCACTTATACACAATGGGGGGGATTTATCAGAACTGGAGCAGCGGTGCATGGCAACCAATCAGCTTCTCTCTTCAGGTAAGATTTGAAAATAAAAAAAAGCCGATTGGTTGCCGTGGACAACTGCTCCAGATTCTGTCTGCTCTGTTTTGATAAATTCCCTTGTCTGTACTTTCATATGTTGCCACAGTGCAATAAATGGCCATTGTCCAACTTATAAGCTGCAAAATACTTTGACTGCAGTCACCTGGCTCAAGGTGCCCATACCTGCCGATTAGCGTACGATAAGCATGGGTGATCCCGCGATCGTACGATAATCGGCAGGTGTATGGAAGGCGTGCAACCGTTTCTACTGTACGGTTGCACGCTTTGTCTCCCGAGCAGGCATTAAAACCTGTTAGTGGCGTTCTCGGGAGACAAATGCCGAACAGGCCGGTGTGCGCAAGCACACACTGCCCGCTCAGAATTGAAGTCATCGGAAGCCCGCCCCTCAGTGGGGCGGGCTTGCGATGATCGCAAGTACGATCTGCCTGCCCAAGATGGGCAGATCGTACAAGCTTTTAATTACCTTACAACAATCGCAAGACGCAAGTCGTGCGATGGTTGTAAAGTGTATGGCCAGCTTAACACTGGAACTGAGCAGGTGCTTCATTACCCTAGAATCACATCAAGCTTACGAGTCAGACAATGGCTTCCTTTTCTGATGCTTCCATCAGAAAATTGTACTGAGCTTATGTTTATTCAAAGTTTGTGAAGTGTTCCGAATTTATTTCAACTCCTTTTAAAGCTGGAACCCAGACATACATTTCTCTATAGCGCAAAAATTAGAAATCCACATTGTGTTCACCAAATACCAGTGATAACACCACCATACTGCACAAACTGCCTGCCAAAACCTTAAGGCCTGGTTCACACTAGAGCTGCAACCATGGCCGCTTACGCCACGCTGAGGACATGCGTCTGGCCCTCTCCTCCCGGTGAGCTTCCCGACTCGCCGCTGCCTGCCGACAACGAACAACGCCGCTGCCCGCCGACAACACCGTCATTCAAGGTAAGTCGAAATCGGCCGGGAGCTTTGTAATGTTTCCGGTGTGTGTGTTTTTTAAAAGCAGCACACTGCAGAACATTAGTAGCTATAGAGGAACACCAAATCCCAGCAATAATACATTAAACACCCGGTATAATGTATTATTGCGGGATTTGTTGTTCCTCTATAGCTGGTGGTATTCTCCATTACGCTGTATAATGTATTATTGCTGGGATTTGTAGGTCCTCTATAACTGGTCAGTGGTAATCTACATTGTGCAGTATAATCATTATACAGTGCATGGGAGAATACCACCAGCTATGGAGGACTACAAATCCCAGCATTAGTACATTTTAGTATAGTATAATGTACTATCGCTACATTTTTGCCCCATAGACTTCAATGGAATCCCTTGAGAACGTGTGGCAAAAGCATATTGCCCATTTGCCCGCGCGTTTTGAGCGTTTAAACGCCTGTGTATCCATTGCCCGCAATGTTTCATAACCTGCCAAAAACGCACGTCTTCCCGTACAGATGCGCACCAAAATCTGTACAAGCGCGCAAAAGCGGTGCCGCCTAGGTGTGAACCCAGCCTAAAAAGGGTGGAAATAAGATCAGTCACCATACACAAAGAGTGGAGAACAGAAGTGACTGGTCTTTACTACTGCACAGATCTGGAATAAATACACAAACGCAAAACGCCATCTAAGAATACGCACGTCTCCTGTACTGAGGCAATATTTGCTTCTCTGTCCAGAGTTATTTTCTAAAATGCTACAGACCCAATAACCAAGGCAAGAATAGCCAACTCATGTTTTACTAGTTAGAGTAAAAGGAGGAGCACCTAGGGAATGTTTACACCATTCTTTTTATGAAAGAGGTGGTAGGGAAGGCAAAAACAATTGTGATCAGCTAAAGATCTTAAAACCCAAAAATGTATCCTACACCAAACACTTCAGGACCAGAAAATTAAATTTGATGCCATGTAAATTTTTGAGTACTTGGATAGGATAGTTTGACTAAGCATCACATCCAACACCTAGCAATGTTTAATTTTATTTAATTTTCTTTAGACAGAGAAGGCTTTCTATTGGTGGTAATTAAATAACCACTTTTTTTTATTTTTAAACTATATAAAAACCAAAAATAAAACAAAATTAAAAAAAGTTTCCCTCTTTTAGCTCTAAAAAATAAATGAAAGCCAGAAAAATAGACACTCCAGAGTAATAAGATTTTTTTTTTTGCCACAATTTTTTGGAAATGAAGAATCGTGCTCAAATTGAAGAGTTTATGGAGCTTGGTAATGGTGCACTAGACATATTAAATGTGCAGATCATACAGAGATGGAAGCGGAGGTGAAGAGGTTAATATACAGGTCACATACAGTGGGAGGATGGAGATGATGAAATTAATGTACAGATGTGCAGGATAAAGCTGGCCATCATGTGCTGAGAATCTCCATTCACATAGCCAACTGCTATGCAAATGTTAAAATCACCCCAAAGAGTTAGAATCACAGTTCTCATATACAGATTTATAAACTTTCACTCTAAGAACCACCAGTACTTGAGACATTATCAATGCTTACTGTTGGAAAGAGGGCGTAATATGAGGCACTCATAAGGGACTAGACAGTCTCTCTCATCCAACAGGTGGCCAGATCATGTCTACATGTATACATGTATAGATGTGAAATGCTCAAATATTCTGCCCCATCCCCCAGGTGCCCACTTTATTAATGATCATGTAAACCAAAAATCTATTTTTTAGTATGTTTCAGCATAGTCACCCTGATTGAGCTCCTGCAGTTGGCTATAGGGCCCCAACCTAACCCAATGCAGCTGGCTCCCACCAGATGCTAAGAGGTTCTGAACACGAGTGTCGCAGGCAGGCTTCCTGATCATGCGATTACTGTGGCTGGCAGTCACAGTGGTTACATAATCAGGAGCCCATCCCAACAGTTCCCCAATCCTAAACAGTGACCAGCAACAGAAACAGCTCTAGCAATGTACTGGCAGCACAGAACAGCAGAACAGGCTTTATGTACATATGTTGCAGCTAGGCATTAAAGCCCACCCACCAGGATGCTGCATATGTGCATGCAGCCGGCAGGGCATTGCTGAGGAGGACAACCCTTCCTAAGTGAGAGGCAAGGACTTGCTCTTACCTGCATTATGTACAACACGAGTGTTACTGGCAGCATCTCCAGGTATGAAACAGTTTAAACAGATTTAGAAGAAAACAATTGGTCACATGTTTATAGCCAGACTTGTGCCAACTGACAGCATGTCCAGAATTGCTCATGTTATAGCATAAAAACCATCAAATATGTCTACTAGGAACAGTCAACACTAATGCACACCAACAATCCATCTAAAAGGCAAAATGACACACTGATAAAATATAAACTAGGAAGACAAGGCCTAAGTTGTCTATTGCAAGATGCTCTACATTATGACTAGTTGTATGTGACCTGTACATGAACCCCATCTCCTTCCCTCTGTCTGTGACCTTTAGATGAACCCCATTTACCCCCCCCCCGCTGTGTGTGAGCAGTACACAAATCTTTGTAATAGCCCCTTCGCACACCGTACCGTTATACACCAGAATCCAATGGGTGCTGGAAGAACTGGTGGATGGCATTATGTTGTCCGCACACCATTCTTCGGAATATCATCTTTATTCATATTCCTTTAGCATGACAAGTGAATGCTAGTGACAGTACACGTATGACACACTGGGGAGAATTTATCAAAACTGGAGAAATCAGAATCTGGAGCAGTTGCCCACGGCAACCAACAAGCTTCTCTCTAGTGTGTTCAGTTAGGATTCGAAAATGAGAGAAGCTGATCGGTTGCCATGGGCAACTGCTCCAGATTCTGTCTGCTACTGCTTCTAGTTAACCATTTTCAAGCGCCATGTTTTAACCACCTCAATACCAACATGCTTCTTCATTTCCAAACATTTGTGGCAAAAAAATAAGATCACCTTGGAGCATCAACTTTAAAAAAGGGGTCATTTTGGGGTTGCTCTGTCCTGCCATTTGCATTTGATATGTTTTATAACAGAAAGTAAGGGAAACTGGTATTTAAGGAAAAAAAACCAAAAAAATTATTTATATCGCAAAAAAAAAAAAAAAAAAAAAAAAAGAAGTATCTCATTAATACACAAAATACATTTTGGTAGACGATTGCAGACAAAAAAAAAAGCCTGGTATTGGAGTATAAACTGCATAGTACCCAAGTGGTTTAACACCCAATTGTTTACATTTTATTTAAAAACTTCAACAGTGCTTTAACCACTTAGTGACCAGTGAAGTCCATAGTACGTCACTGGCACCGGGTCTGTTTAAACCGTCTCCCGGCGGCTAAAGACGCAGGGATTATGCTTACATTTGTAAAGCCGACTGTCGGCTTTACAATAGAATCGATCAGGCGACTCAACTGTCGCCCGATCGATGAGCACACACACCTTCACAAAAACACGCGTCAGGTGCGCCCAAGTATGAAAACGACGATCGTGCTATACATGGTGTATTGCCGCATCCGCCTGAGTGAGCAATAATTCGAAGGCCAATATTTATGTGCATCAATAAACTGATGACCTGTGGGGGCTTTTAAAGCGTCATTTACAGACTTTTTGGGGTACTGAATTTTGTCACAGTTTCACGGATGCACACAATTATTAACATGGGCATGTTGGGTATCTATTTTCTCGTTGTAACCTTATCGTTTATATTACATTTTAAAGAATGGGTATTTAATTGTGTTTTGGGGCATTTAAGGGCATTTTTCACTAAATTTTGGGGTTTGATAATATCGTGCAATATAAAAATTTGAAACTGCCAACATTTTATTCTGTAGGGTCTGTCTGGGCTTTCAGAAAATATATGTGTGGGGGTTTGAAGTCATTTTCAGGCCTAAAATGAGGATTATAACATGGGTTAAACAAAAAAAAATAAAAAAATAAAAGGCCTCAGTCACTAAGGGGTTAATACTGTGTCATAAAAACAAAGAAATAAGGGCAAGAGCAATCAACTCACATAAGAACCAAGGTTGTCTGCTATTTCAAACTCAAGATAAAAATCAACATTTTACAATCCTTGTTTAAAAAGAAAGAAAATCAAGGATACACGAGACAGTAAGCGCAATATAGATATCAGAATTTTTCTCAAACGGAACCTATATTTGAAAAGAAAGTCTTTACTACTATTTTAGGCAATTTAGACATTTGGCTACTACAAGTATGCAAAAAAATGTAAATGTATATAGAACCTAAATAGCCGGATTATTATTAAAACTATACAATAGGGGTTCAGTGAGGGTTTGGTTAACCATCAGGATTGATTGCTGCTGCAGTGAGCTCTGCTAAGACCCCTAGAATCCTCAGGCTCAGTATACACCTTAGCGGTTTTCCACGCGTATTGGTACGTGCAGAAACGCGCTAAACATAAAAAATATTTCCAACGTACGATGTTCACACTTGGGCGGCGTCCACACAGCACCAAAACACACGTCCGGGAAAAACAAAAGTCCAAGCGCGATTTTCTGGGCAGATTCTGTGCTTTCCAGCTATAGAAATAGTCGCGAGGGGTGCAACAACCAATCGATTAAACACTCCATATTCTAAGCAGACCGTTATCCACATCTCTAAAATGACTTGTTGATATGCCTGCCTTTTTCCCTCCTCTCTCTCGTGCTTATGGTGTGGCCTTACAGACTATACAGTAATACTTCTACATTCGCAATGACCAACTCTCTCTCTGCAGATTTGTGGACTACTGGCTCACTTCTATCCTTGCAGTGGTTCCCTAATTGTCTAGTTATGTCCGTTAGAATAATAAACCCTAACTCATATGAACAGGCTCAGGTGATGCCAGATAACATAAGCCCTGTACCAACACAGTGTAGAGGGAAGAGGACGAGTAGAGCTGCAGCTAACGATTATTTTCAAAATCGATTAGTTAGCCGATTATTAAGTTCGAAGGACGAGTACTTGTTTTTGTGCTGTGTGTGTAAGCTTTAGATTCTCTTTGCCATCAATGGCAGCCCCCATATTTCGCTCATATCATGAGCATTTAAATAACCAACCATTGATACAGCTGAGGTAGCAAGCCAAACCGTATTCATGAACATACCTGATTCTGTTGGAGTGGAGGCTGGGACTGTCCATCAGGAGCCTGGCCTTGACTTTCATTCCCTCCAACCGGAGAGCCACGAGTCGTGGCTGTCATACTCGACACAGGGCAGATCTTTGCAATTTTGTCTGTTTATGTAGCAATTGCAAGAGAAGAAATTATAATCCCTTTAAGAAAGACAAGCCGACATACGTCTGTCTTATGAAGCTCCACCTTAAACACAGAACGTTTTGCAGAGACCATTGCATAACCTGAAAGAAAAAGAAAAACGGAATTAAAATCTAATCGCATATATATTTTCTTTTTAGTTGTTTGTTTTGGGATTTAATAGCAAACAGTTTGTCAAGAAATCTTATTTTGTCATGAACCATAATCCACAGCAACTACATTGTTGAGGCCTTGTTCCCACCGAAAGCGTGTGCGTTCCAGAGCAGTAGCTGCTGGAACGTACCACGATCGCTGAGAAACTTCCCCTTGCGTTTTGGGGCGGGAGGGGGCGTCCGATCGCACTGCGGGCGGGGGAAGTGGAAGCGGTGCCATTGGATACAATGCACAGCCACGCCCCCTCCCGCCCCAAAACGCAAGGGGAAGTTTTTCAGCGATTTTGCTTTAAATATCTAAGATCGCATATGATACAGTATGTCACATGCATATAAATGATGACAAAGAAAACAAGATGTGACGTAAATTCTTAAGGGCTAGTTCGCACCAGCCACAATGTGCTCAGCACAATTGGTGCCCAAACACACTGGATGGCATTCCGGCCCACTTTGGAGGGGGCGTGGTGGTGCATTTAAGTCAATGGCGGCACAGTCATGCCCTCAAGCCACAATGCGACCGGCCGCACCGCAACGCGTGGCACATCAGTGCTTGCGTTCTGGTCTGGTGCAGTCAGAAACAAAAATGCTGCATGCTCTATTTTTTTCTGACTGCCACGCCCCCTTCCACAGCAAAACAAAGTGAGCCGGCCGGAATGTGATCCAGTGCGTTCCGGCACCTAATCGAGCCAGACAAATCCGTTTACAACGGTTGGTACAAATGGTTTACAACGGAATAGTGAAATTGTGAAGCCAGCACTGTAACCAGCAAATGTGAGCTAAACATGAGATGTATAAAAACACACACACACACACACACACAATTGCCAAAAGTATAGGACACAGCTCCAAATCATTTGATTCAGGTGTTCCAATCACCTCGATGGCCACAGGTGTATAAAATCAAGCACCTAGGCATGCAGACGCTTCTACAAACATTTGTGAAAGAATGGGTCGCTCTCAGGTGCTCAGTGAATTCAAGCGTGGTACCGTGATAGGTTGTCACCTGTGCAATAAGTCCATCAGTGAAATGTCCTTGCTACTAAATATTCCACAATCAACTGTTAGTGGGATTATAACAAAGTGGAATCAACTGGGAACAACAGCAACTCAGCCATGAAGTGGTAGGCCACGTAAAATGACAAGAGCGGGGTCAGCGCATGCTGAAGCGCACAGTGCACAGAAGTCGCCAACTGTCTGCAGAGTCAATAGCTACAGACCTCCAAACTTCGTGTGGCCTTCAGATTGGCACAACAACAGAGCGTAGAGCTTCATGGAATGGGTTTCCATGGCCGAGCAGCTGCATCCAAGCCTTACATCACCAAGTGCAATGCAAAGTGTGGGATGCAGTAGTGTAAAGCACGCTGCCACTGGACTCTGGAGAAGTGGAGACGTGGTGTGGGGTTGGTTTTCAGGGGTTGGGCTTGGCCCCTTAGTTCCAGTGAAGGGAACTCTTAAGGCATCAGCATACCAAGACATTTTGGACAGTTTCATGCTCCCAACTTTGTGGGAACAGTTTGGGGATGGCCCGTTCCTGTACCAACATGACTGCGCACCAGTGCACTAAGCAAGGTCCATAAAGACATGGATGAGCGAGTTTGGGGTGGAGGAACTTGACTGGCCTGCACAGAGTCCTGACCTCAACCCGACAGAACACCTTTGGGATGAGTTAGAGCGGAGACTGCTAACTAGATAGGCAGAGCCAGCTGTCAGTCACGCAGCTGGGCGGATGCCGGCACAATTGTCGGGATCCGCTTCAGCTGCGGCGTCTCAGTATACCGCAAGCAGCAGCTCGCGGTATACTGCGGCGTCTCAGTATACCGCAAGCTACAGCTCACTGTATACTGAGCCTAGAGTGACAGGAGGACGCTAGTTTGTGTCCTCCCGTTACCCTAAGGAGAACTATGGGGAAAATCCTTAACCCCATAGTTCTCCTTTAAAAGGGCACTAGTAATTCAATTGGTTACATTTTCATAGAAAAAAATAAAAAATTCTCAGTTTGGACAGAGCACAAAACACCTTCCTCACTCTATCCAAAACTAGGGAAAATACCAAGTTTTGGCTGGGGATTTTTGCATTGATTTTGAACCAAAATCAATGTTAAGACGCAAACAAAAGCATTCCAAAAGTGAAACTAGATTTAAAAAAAAACTTAACAGGAAGAAAAAAATGACATTGTTAAAGAGGCCACAGAATCGCAGAAAGTAAGTTATGCATATTGTGAAACCAACAGTACAATTCTTCTACCAGTCCAGTCATCTTGATATGGCCTCAGACAACCCCCTAAAAGCAAGCATTAACAAGTATAGATCAAAGGTCAGTGGAGAAAAAAAAAACATATCAGCAACTAATCCTGCAAACTTACAAAGTGGCTAAACACAGTAATAGGTCAACTCCATGCAATGACGTTTGTATTTCACAACATTTCTCTTCAAACACCATTTATTCTGCTTTGTTTTCCCATTAGATCAGTAAGTTAAAGGCCCTAAGACCTGTAAAAACTGTTAGAACTCCTTATTCAAAGCTAACTTTCACAACCAATATGAAAAGAGAACCTTGCTCTACAGTTCAAGTTTCGCATAAATTGCAGGCGTTTACTTAAAATTACCTCAGTACAGTTTTAACTATTTAGTAGGTATTTAGGTCTGTTTCTATGTGCCAATTTTGAGGTTGGCGCATTTTAAATGAAAAAATGTTTTGCCGAATACCTGCCCAGCTATCACAGCTAGAACATATACAATTCTGCAGGTTCTGTGCATTTACCATGGCATTCTAGTAGCCACTGAAATGGTGATTTACTATTTGAGTTTGTGTGTGGGTCCTTCCTGAAGGACCACTTTGTCTTCTGTCTCCTGCTCTGGTGACCAAGATAGAGATAATTTTCTTCAATGTGGTCACTGGAAATTATAAAACATAATGGCATTAGATATGTGTAATGGTGTGCATCCCATTATCAGCAGGTGCCGCTCTACTTGTTCTTTTGGCCATCGTCACCAAGACAGAAAGTGATAGGAAATCCAAAATTGTCACCAAAACAGGAGGTGTGATGAAACTTCCAATGAGGGCACTTGGTTTGGTGACAGTCATCAGAGAGGAATTCCCCTCACTTTAGAGATTCTTCCTTCAATCCTGTTGCATATTTTTACAGGACATAAACTAATTGGGGTTTTAATCCTTCCCTACTTTATTTAGAACTAAAACGTGTTAGCTATACATACACTTTAAAACGCAGAGGCCTCCCTTTTCTGTATTGTGATGTCTGTATTAGTAAATGAGAATCATCATCTCGACAGTGTATGCCCAGCCAAAACTAGTTTTGGAAAGAGTGGAGAAGGTTTAGAACTAGGGATGCACCGATACTGTGTTTCCCCGAAAATAAGACACTGTCTTATTTTTTTTTTGGCTCACAAAAAAAAAAAAATGGCAAAGTTAAGAATGGGGTGATCAGGGCAATCAGGAGTGCCATACTTTCCATTCTCTCTCAAGGCTCTTCAGGTTCCCCCTTATGCCACCATCGGCCCTGGCAATGGTCACAGCTAGGTCTTATTTTCGGGGTAGGTCTTATATTTTAGTAATTCCCAAACATAGTACTAGATCTTATTATCGATATCAGTGCCGATACCGAGTACGCTGCCCGGTTTCCTGATTGGCCGGCCAGATGGCTCCGGCTGGGTACCCGAGGAAGGCCGTGTTCTGGCTGTAGAGGCCCCGGGGGTGAAAGGCTGGACATGCTGAGGTAAGAGGGGACAGACTGTTAAATCGGGAAGCCAGGCGGCGAGTCTTTACACGCTTCCCGGCTAATCAGGAAGCCAGGTAGCGAGTCATTACATGGGACTTCCATTACTTGGTAATTGGTATCGACGAGCAACGGAAAAAAATTATCTGTACTCGGTACTAAAATACCGGTATCGGTGCATCCCTAGTTAGAACCCCATCAGGTACTTCTGCTGTCCAAGGTTCCAATAAAAAGACTTCCTTACTACTTGTCCTGTAGACATCGTTTTACTGGACAGGAAGTGAAGGGAATGCTCTAAACAATAGAGACATAAATGTGTTTCTTCCATAGAGTAGGGACAAGCTAAAAACCCCTGTTGGATTTTAATTGTTGTCTGTTAGATTTTCACTGTCTGGTGAAACTGTTGTCTGCACAACAAGTAGTAATGATAAAGCTCTCAAATGAAAAACTGAACAGCAGCAAAAATCTGACAATTATTATAATCCTTCCTCATGAGCCAACGTTTTTAGCTTGCCATACAAAGTCAAGAACAATATGGGAGGTAAGAGCAGAGAACATAATGCTTGTACAAAAATTCCAAGTTCTGCCAAAAGAAAAATTAAAAAATTCAGCTTCCTATATTTCTAGATCCACTTATGTAGATATGCAGGAAACCTATGCCAATGCATTTTCCCCCATTATATGCCAAGCTGGAAATGCAGGCTTGTGGCAAAATTGACTTTAATACAGTATTTAGGGCAAGGCATCTTAGGAGCATACAAAGTGCATAGAAAAAGCTCACCCACTTGAATATAAAAAGCAGCCAGAAGATACCGCTACCACCACCAGAAAAGCCTAAAAAAAAGCAGCCATGAGATACAGCTACCAGTAATACTAGAAAAATCTAAAACGTTTGCAAAAAAAAAAAAAACTTAACCTTAAAAAGGATAACACCTTTAATGCTACATGGCTTTCAAGAATTGTCCAGCTCTGCATTACCTCATTTTTCAGACATTGCAGGCAATCAAAACAAAGAAAAGCATGATTCATTATACAGCATCAGCGGGACTTCTGACCTGACCAGCCAACTAACCAAATGCTCTTCGAGGGGAGTGGGGTAGGAGTGCCCACTGACTGATCTTTGAGATCTGTAAATTGGTATCTAGTGTCAGGAGCAGCCTGGACATTATACTTCAACATGCCAAAATCAATGTGGCAT